TATTTAATATTTTTGTCCAGCTTTTCCAACGGTCCTCAGTGTTAGACTTGGTCTGAATTACCTAGTCTGCCATCATTGGAAGTGGAAGTTCTCTTAGTACTTTTTTTTTTTTTAAGATTTTATTGGGGAATCGGGGGAGGGGAATAGACAAGTTGCTGTCCTGTTGTTCTTCAGTCTAGTTGTGGAGGACATCACTTCACTGGCCCATGTTGGTGTTATCATTGTGCTCTTCCTGGGTGAGGCAGCCGCTTAGGGTGGCTCAGGCGGTTCAGGAAATCTCACGCCCGCTGCCAGCCAGCCCCACTGCAGCCTACGCCGTAGCCAGCAACTCCCCGCAGCCCAGCTCTAGGTGGAGCTGTTGTTCACCATCTTAGCTGTAGAGGGCGCAGCATCACTGGCCCTCATGTGGGATCCAAACCGGGGCCTTGCTGCTCAGAGCTGGCGTCCCAAACCAACTCCTAACCAACGCACCACTCTGCCGGCCCATCTCAGTATTGTTTTTAACTAAAGATATACTTGTTATTAACCAGACCTCTGGTACCACAGTGGGTTAATATACGCTCAGTCTACAGCCCCCAAGACCCACAGCTCCCTTTGTAGACTCTTTATGGTACGAAGGACCCAGACGGGGCATCTCAGTGTTGCAGCATGCTGGGTTCATTCTGCCTTCATGGAGCTTGCCGTCTGCCCTTCACTTTCTAAAGCCTCCAACCTGTGTGGACCAATATTCCCATTCAATATCAGCATTGTTTTTATCCTTTTCAGCTGGTCTCTTGAGTTGCCGTGTTCATGATTTCAACTGTCTTTCCCGAGTAAACTCTTTACCAGTCGTCATACTGTCCACAGGGCAGTAAGGATCAGTTTGAGCTCAGCATGCAAATCTGGCCCTTCTCTCCAGCCTCAACTCGACCACAGTCTCAGAATGCATTTTTGCACATAATAATTTGTCCTTCAAGACTCAGCATCACCTCCTCTGGGAAGTCTTCCCTGATTCTCCCAGGCTGTCAGCCTGCACGGACACTGTGCCTCTTCAGGTCTGTTTCCCCATCAGGACAAACATTTTGAAGACTGTCAATATCTTACTCATTTCAGCATCTCTAGTACTTGGTGATTAAAAGGTATCGATTAATGTGAGATAATCTCATTTCCTAAGTTCCACACAACCCCTAATGCTTTGTCTTCTTCACCAGTCTCATGAATCCTTTCCCTGGAAACCCCATTTTTCTAGCCCTTAATGGAAGGTATGCCAGCTGCTTGTTTGCCTGCATCCCTAAACACACCTAGTTCACAGACCTGTGAGACATTGACAGTGGACCGCCACCTGCTGGTCAGAAACTTTCTAGGACAGTGACAACTCAGGGCTGCAGACAGAGTAGGGGTTCTTTATCTTACAGTGTCCTACAAAGAATATGAGCCCCTTCTCAGAATATTTTCAAATATACAATAGAAAGCACAAAGAAAGTGAAATCAATCACAATGAAATGCAGGTATCAAGATGTTAGAAAAACTATTGCTTATATAAGACACATGTATATGTAATGTGATACATATATAGATACAATATATTTTCATGTATCACATTAAATAACAAGATGTAGCAATAGGTCTAATTGCTACTATAATTTCCAAGTGATGAACAAAATGATATTTTGAGATGTCTGCAACAGCTGTAATGTGAGATGAAATCTCTGACTTCTACTGCTAACAGTTACAGGTACTGCTACTACTACTAGGGTTTGTTACCTACATCCGTAAGGAAAGGAAATGCTGCCTTTCAGTTAGAGGTCAGTGAAACTGATGGCCAACTCTTCCCATCCAGGTACAAAGGCACTCTGAATTCTATCCATGGATTCCTTGGTCGGGGGCTGGGAACCCCAGATTAAGAACCCCTGAATGGAACTTTAGAGGAAGAAAAAAGCTTTTAAATACAGCAGAGATGGCTAGTGGCTAAATGTCTGTGTGGCTCTGGCTGAGTGTGATGGGCAGTTGGGGGCAGGAGAGGAGGTGCTGAGATAGCACTGCTAGACGGTCTAAGTTTGAATCCCATGCGCGTCACTTACCCTTGTCGTGAGGTTTGGCCTGACCATCCCCTTGCCCAGTGTCCATTTCCTCATCTGTAAAGTGGGAATGGCAATGTCTTCCTTGGGTTGTTGAAAGGATTCAGTGAGTTAATATGTGCAAACTCTTGGTGGTCAAATGTTTATTGTTAAATGAGAATAATTAAATGTCCATAGAAAACACGCACATGCACACACACACACACACACACACGTGCACACACAGCCAAGCATAACTTCTTTCAGAAATCCCCCAGTCAGGCCTGCAGTATGACCTGGGAGGCATCAGTGTCCTCAGAAGCTAGTAGACCGTTTCCTTGTCTGGCAAATGTGGGTAAGTGTGTCCTGCTTTTCCTACCCCAATCCAAGAGAACAACGTCAAAGGCAAATAGTTTCTCACCTTGTTATTTTATTAGCAGTATATTTACACCCTTGCAGTTAACTTTGCAGAGAACATTTTACAAAAATCTTGTATAAAGTTTGGAAACTACATAAAAATAATTTCTATCCTTCATAAAGGGAAAATATAAGTTAGTTACATTTACTCTGCCATAAATTGACTGAAAACGAGAAGCAGTTCCGTGTGTCCCTTACAGAGGAAGCAGTAGCGCAGGGTACGAGAACTGTGTGGGTCTTCTCAGTGATGGGCTTTGCACATTGGCTCAGTCGTGAGGCTGCAAGACCCAACCAGACCCCATCCAGGAAGGACAAGGGAGCTACTGGGGCTCGGGCGGCACTGAGCAGGGAAGCAGCAACTCTTGAACGAGATTCCAGTGTGAACAACAAGCCAAGTAAGGAAATGACCAAAGGCTTGCCTGAGCCTCGAAACCACATTTCACGGAAGACTCATTCTCACACCCCAGGCTGCAAAGACGATGTTGTAAACAGCCTCGCTCAGCCCTGCTCGACCGTTCGCCAGGGCTGGCCTCTCCTGGCAGGACTGGGTGTGCGCTCTGGTTACACTGCTGCCAGTCCACGTTTCCCCAGCACCTGTGCACCTAAGAGGATCAAAGGGGACAATTGTTTCACTTGTCTCCTTTGTCGAGACCTGAAACTGTCCCATCTGGGTCAAATACTGAAGCGGGCAAGCTGAGTGCTCACTAAACTGAGAGGACCACTGCCTTCCTGTGGCCCCCCCAGCATCGTTCCTGCATACATAACTTGGGAGCCTCAAGCCCTTCACTGTTGAATGGCTGCCCTCCCTTCGCAAGATCAGAGGAGGATTACAGCCAGTGCCAAGAGGACTTCCAGGGAATTGCTTTAGAAAAACAAACATCGAACCTACCCTTAAGGAGTAAAGGAGAAAGTCCTCCCTGCTGTGTCAGTGATGCTATCACCGGCAGAATAAGTGCCCAGACTCAGTATGCGCATATGATTCCTCAAAATCACCTTCTGTTTTCTGTCTTGCTTTTTTAAAGCAGGTATCTTCCTAAAGAAGCCATTCATTTATATTTGTTTCAAGTTAGAAATCAAAGTGAAAAAAGTTTTCTTTGTAAATAAGCTGAATGCTGGTTTGAGCATTTGCTTTCATTGGGTTATCAACACTGCAGCCTTGGGGGTCAGAATCTGGGGGGGCCAACGGAGTGACCCGAAGGCCCAGGATTCCGACTGAGATACAGAAGCTCTGCTTCGGCCGTGTTCCTGGGGGCAGGAAGCATTTATGTTTCTCCCTGAGGCTTTGCTTCCTGAACAGAAGTCCTAGTGACTGCCTGCCTCTGCCTAAAGTGTGAGGCTGGACTCCTGACCTAGGAGGGCACAGGCAGACGGCCTTCGCGTATCACCTGCAGACAGGATGGGCAACTGTGAGGTGAGAGCAGGCTGGGCTGTAAAAGTCTTGTGTGGTGAGGAATTCATCCGTGAACGTAGGATCTCACGTGGGGACCAAAAGGAATCGCAGATGGGCAGGTCCGCCTGTGCCATCTTGTTCTCTGGTGTCAACACCCAGCACGCCCCATACCAGTGGCTCCACCTAACATGCTCAGTGGCTCAGGCAGCAAACGTGTTCCAACACACCTGGCCCAAGAGGCCCAGGGCGGAGGCAAGCCTGGGTAGCGCCAGGGTCCCAAGCCCTACGTGTGTGTGTGAGTGTGTAGGAAGGGGGGACACGATATGGCACAAAACACCTGAGACCAGCAGGATGAACGATTCCAGCTCTCCCCCATCTCACCATTATAGACACAGCCTTGTCTCAAGAGGAAAGCAACTAGGGGGAACTGGAGAAATGAGGGCACCCCCAAGCCGCTGGCTGCAGGCCGGGCTCCACTGGAAACCAAAATGGCTGCTAGGAGCAGTGGTTCTTGTCTGACACTGCAGGGAACGGCTGAAAAGTCACCAAGAATTCCAGCCTGCATGAGCCCATAGTGACTTGAGCAGCAGCACTTTGCATCCAGAGAACAAAACTGGTATTTTGGCAAATAGGAGGGGCCGTGAGGCCACAGAACACCCCTTCCTCCTTGGACCCTGACCACACACACAGCCCAAATCACTGACAGTTTTAAGGGATCTGGGGTTCAAGGAGAACATATATTAGGATCAGGCAATACATAATAAAACCTCGCCCTCCGTGAATGAGCGAGAAGTCAGGAGCACTGAGGTGGCACAGGCAAGGGGCTGGATTCGAGCTGGCATGGAAGCAAGAGGAAAGGGGGTCCTGAGTTACTTGTTCACAGAGAATGGGGGACCCCGGAGGCCCGCCACCCTGGGTGGCTGTTAGGAAGTGTCTGCAGAGCTGTAGGGGAAGAACTTGGTGGCCTTGTTTGGGGTGGTGGGATTTGGGCACTCGGTCTCCTCGTTCAGTTTGAAGAACATCTCCTGCTCTCGCTTCTTCTGGTTCAAATCTTCTTCCAGAGCCTAGGACACACAGAGTAGAGGGAGCCCAGTCAGACCCCGCAGGACAAACGTCTCCCAAGCACTGGACCCCCACCAAAGTGTCCTCTGGGAATTTCCCTCCCAGGCCTGCGTGCTTGGGTAACAGTGTTCCCTCTTTTCTTTCCCAGAGCCCATCACCCAGAAGACAAGCCACCCCCTCCTCCTTCCTCCTGCTGCAGCCATACAGGAGTGTCCTGTGGCCACGGGCTACAGTCCGGGGAAATGCCAATCTGCATGGGGTGCAGGGGAAAGCAGCCTGGAGATAGAAAATGGAGAGAGATTTAACAGCGGGGGGAGCAGAAAAATCCAAGTCACACGAACCAGGGCACCGTGTCACAGAGATCACCCAGGGAGTTTGTTTTTAAATACATGTGCCATCATTCCACCCCGAGATTCTGATTCTGCAAACTGCTGGTACGCTCGGGGTTCTCTCTGTTGTAACTGAGGGAAGCGTCTAGTTGACAGGCACTGCAGGAGCTTCCCTTGAGCACACGCAAGTTTATCTAGATAAATTGGATCCTATGAGAAACATTTCTTGAGGGTTCTCCAGTAATAAGCATTCAATTGAGAAAGGAAGCAGCACAGAGTGGAAAGAACATGAGCTTTATAGTCAGGCAGAATTTGGCTTTATCGTGCATGCCGCCTCTCTCCTCTGAGTCTGTTTCCTCATGTGTAATGTGACAGTATTTCTCCCTGCCAACAGGGCTGTTGTGAGGCTTGAATTAAAATTAACGGGTCATAATTGCTGAGTGAGTCCTACATGTTAGGCACTGTGCTTTGTGCCTGACATCTTATTTCATCTTCACCCTATGAGGCAGATACTATGATCCCCATCTTACAGATGGAGAAACTGAGGCTCAGAGAGCTTAGGTCACTTGCCCAAGGCCACTCGGCGAGCTTGGCACAACGAAGATGTGAACCTAGGCCTAACAAGAGTTCAATCTCTGAAACACTGTGCTCCACCATCTGCAAAGCCAGGCACACAAGGGCTGTTTAGTTAATGTGGCTTCATTCTTAAGAGGCATTTGACCATCAGCCAGATTTCCTTATTTTTACTATAGATTTCACAAGATATGATCAGCACACTGTTACATCTCTCTTTTTTAAGATGATTCTTTGGATGCCCTGAAATAGTCTCTGCTTAACAAATAACTTAATTACCAGAATTCCCAACCTTAAGCTCTTCTCCCATCAATAGTATTAAGTTCTAGTGAGTTCAATCTCTAAAGAAAGTTGGGGAAAGGATATTGAATCATAACACCGATTTTTCCATCCTGTTATAGGACATTCACTTGAGAGAAGGCAAGGCATTTGAAGTCATGCCTCATCTTGGTTGAACATAAGTGACTTGGAATTTCTGGGAATTTCACAGACTCTTGGCTCAAGTTCTTTGTTGGATGTATTAATGTGAAAGTGTTCATGGCAAGCAAACGTTATACATTAGCAAGATAAAAGCAGTACTGTTTAAGCTCCTGTAACAGAGGTTACAATACCCAGTGCCTATGATGGGAGCCAGCCAGATGATTGAATGAGTGGAGCGAGCTGGCTGTGAGGCAGTAGGGAGTGGTGGGGACTGTGGTGAGGTAAAGAGCATCTGAAGAGGGTGGTTTTGCTCAGCTCCAGTTGATGGCTATCATGTGCCATGTTGGGCCTAGTATTATTGCCAGAGCTCCTAGGTTTCCAAAAGAAACTGGAAATCCAGATTTTGTTTAATGTCAAATTTCCTTAAAAGTTGGAAACTTTTGGGGCAGCCAATTAGCCAGGTGGTTAGAGCACAGACTCATAATACCAAGGTTGCCGGTTCAATTCCCACATGGGCCAAGGAGCTGTGCCCTCCACAACTAGATTGAAAACAACCACTTGACTTGGAGCTGATGGGTCCTGGAAAAACACACTGTTCCCCAATAAAATTTCNTAGCCTCTGCCGTGCGCCGGTCGAGGCGCTGGGCATCCGCCCTGAACATCACAGACAAGACCTCGGTTCTCGTGGAGCTTGATTCTAGTGGGCAGGAACACGCAGACATTTCCCCCAAAGAGTGTCAAGTGCTAGGACGCCTGGAGACGCCTCGTGAACGCAGCCACCAGCCCTGTGTGAGCTGTGTCAGCGCTGTCAGTGCCTTCTAATCAGAGACCACCCGAGGCACCGATCGTGGGAGAAGTTGGGTTCATTGCTGGTTGCTGTGAGGGAGAACACACGCCACGAGGAAGCGTTATTAGCTGGTTTGGGAGAGGGTTTAAGGCAGTAGGGCTTTCCTCTGAGTTAGATGGTGCCAGGAAGTGGGGGTAATCCTATGATTGGGCATCTCATGAAATCTGACCTGGAAGGGAGCAATACCAGACTGAGGTTAAAGCTTGTAATTGGTGCAGAAGCAGGATGGGGGATGGTTGGTGGTTGTTGTTTTTTGTGGTTTGAACAAGGGTTATGTTTTCTCTGCGGGCAGATATTACTTAAGGAGTGGTCTTGTTTTTGTCTTGATCTGTCATGGTTACAGAATGGCCTGTCGGATGTTCGTGTTCTGTGAAATGATATTCAACAGGAGGACACAAGACCTAGCAAGGAGGGCCAGGCGATCATCTAGTAATAGTACAGCCTGGCTGTGACGTAGCAGGCCAGCTTNTCGCCGGCCATTGGACGGCCGCTCACGGTGGCTCACGTCAGCTGCCAGTCAGCCCCACTGCAGCCTACGCAGTCGCCGGTGACTCACAGCAGCCCAACTCCAGGTCAAGCTGTTGTTAACCATCTTAGCTGTAGAGGGCGCAGCGTCACTGCACATGTGGGGTCCGAACCTGGGCCCTGCTGCTCAGTGCTGGCGTCCCAAGCCAACTCCTAAAAAAACACGCCACTCAGCTGGCCCGCCCTTTCCTTTTCTTGATGAGTCTGGCTAAAGATTTATCAATTTTATCTTTTTATTGAACCAGCTTTTGATATCATTGATATTGTCTTCTTTTTTCCTTCCTTCTACTCAGTTGGGGTTTTGTTCTTCTAAGACTTCCAGTTAGTTCCTTTAGATGTAAGGTTAGATTGAAATTTTTCTTGATTCTTGAGTTAGGTCTGTATTTCTGTGAATTTCCCTTTAAGAATTGTTTTGTCTGTTTCCCATAGGTTTTGGGCTGTTTTGTTTCATTTATCTCAAGGTATCTCTTGATTTCTTCCTTCATCTCATTAACCGATTTATTGTTTAGTAGCGTGTTATTTAGCCTTCAGTTTCCTTCTTGTAATTGGTTTCTAATTTCATACCATTGTGATTGAAGAAGATGCTTGATATAATTTCAGTGTTCTTAAATTTATTGAGACTTGTTTTGTGGCCTAATGTGGTATGTCCTGAAAAATGTTCCATGTGCACTTGAAAAGCATGTATATATTCTGTTGCTTTTGAGTGAAATGCTGTAAAGGTATCAATTAAATCCATCTGGTCTAATGTGTCATTTAAGGCCAATGTTTCATGACTTTCGGTCTCGACCCCCTTGGGGGTCGAATGACCCTCTCACAGGAGTCGCCTAAGACCATCGGAAAACAAAAAGGTACTTACATTACGATTCATAACAGTAGCAAAATGACAGTTATAGAGTAGCAACGAAAATAATTTTATGGTTGGGGGTCACCACAACACGAGGAACTGCATTAAGGGGTCGC